AAAAAAAGCGTCTTCTCGGGTTTCATGGGAACGATCACGAGTGGGCGGGAAACACGTGGGAGCAGGGGTGCCAACGACACGAACCGCAGGGGGCTCTCGGCAACATTGAATGCGGCTCTGCAAGTAATAGTTCCTGCTAATAATGGAGGTATTTGTTTCCATGATTTCGTGAAAGCCGCCACCGGCGTAGGCAGCGCCTCTGACCGGGAGTCGTGACTAGGTGGAATTCAGTCGCCGTCCGGAGGAGACTTGTAGCCGTCGGCTGCTCTGATTGGCTGTTTTCCGTGGTTTCTCTGATGAGCACCAGGGGCGCGCCGGGGCGGCACCTCGGCAAAGGGGCCTCGGGGCTCGCGCGCTTTCCTCCCTCGCGGTCCCATTCCTGTTGCACGCACCACACCACCACACGCGTGGCCCGGCGGGGCGACGGGAGATACCTGGTTGGGGAAGCCTTCGTTAGCCAACGCAGGTCGGCGCCGGATGGCGCCATCCAGTTGGGAAGACCAGCGCCACTTCCCGCAACAAACAGCATGCTGGACACTTACGGGACTAACAACCTCAACAGTTGACAGCCCCGGAATCAATGGGTTAATTTAGTCGAAAGTCTTTCCTTCTGCGGAAGTAGGTGTTCCAAAAAACAACGTTTCATTTCTAGCGCCATACTGTACTAATTGCAACTTTGTAATTAAAGTTAAGAACATTACTGCGATGTCAGTCTTTTTTTGTGTTGATTTCTATTTTATTATTACTCGTTTGAAACGTTTTAGTTGTGGTATGTGCCACAACAGAGGCCCCTGGCCGGAAAGGCTCTCCGCCGCCAGGACGAAGCGATGCCTCGCGCGCCGCAACCCCGCCCTGTGTGGCGGCATCATTGCTTCGCGCGGAGATCGCCTTCCGCAGAATCAGCCTGAGGCGGCAGGCCGGGTGGTCTCCCCGGGTCCTCTTCCTGTTGGGAAAGCAGCTGGCTCCTCTGCCGTCTACTTTCCAGGCTCTCGCAGGAGTAGTTTATGGAACGATGTTTGCAAAATTCTACTACAATTTTCCTAATATGTTTTTCCAGCTCGAAGGCAGAATCTACCTTTGTTGCTAACGTCTATTGAAAATTGCACTTTGGAGTTTCGCTCCTTGCTTTAGACCACTTTGGGAACGACAAGGTCTATGGGGGATAAGCAAATGTGTTTTCTGAGTTCTTGTATGTCGATTACATGATTTTACTTTTTTTATTTAATCACTAATTTTTCGATAGGAAACTTATTGAGGAACACTGGTAATAAAAGACTAGTTAAATATTGTTCCTAAAAGTAGTAAATTACTTCTTGCAATACGTTGTGAAGTTGGAATCCATGCGTCTCTGGTCAATTCTGACGCGTAAACCATTCAGTCGCTTTTCTCCAAAATTTATATAAGTGTTCTTTCTGAACGAACTGGAAGGCCTACGACTTTCAATCAGCTAATATCATTTTGGGGGATACTTTATACTTCGATTTATTTAGAGGTGCACTTGGCAGGTCGTCAGCTGTTACGGTGTCTTCCAATCGGGTGCTTACACGTTCTACAGTGACGTCACTATGGTGACGTTCAAACTCTTGGATGATACCGAAACAACTGATTTATGTCAAGGGCAGTTACGCTTAAATCCAAGTATACGACCCCCAACACTCGCCTGGCCCTGCTTTACCTTGCCCTGCCCTGCCTCTGCGTTGCCTTGCCTTTCTTTGCTTTACGTTGCCCTGCCCTGCCTCGGCCTGGCGCTGCGTGGGCGCACGTGCTGGCTGC